AACATCATTAAGTATTCATTATATTGTAATAATAATAAATTAATTTCGGAAATTATCCATAGATGTAAGTAGCTTCATCAATATCGTGAGGTTAAAAGACAGAAATATATATACTATACATATGGTACTACTTTTACTAGTTTTTATTTTACTCATGCCCTCATCCCACTAAGGTTGGCTGTCACAACATGTGAATCATGTTTTTGTAGTATTGAATAGGTTTTCTACGACCAACCACTTACCTGAAGTCAACTCCTTGGGAATCGAACCCACGGCCCCCGGCGCTGCAATAGCTTAACAACTATGCCGCCAAGTAATTAGAAACGTAATATCAGTAGACAAAATTCATTTTATGTAGATATCGTTATAACGTTTCAACGAATCTTGGCCTCAATAACCATGCACTACAATTAAGGTATCCATTAATCTTTGTGTCGAACTGCTCGCAATTAACACAATTGTTAACGGGAGGTTAAACTGTAGTTCCAGGAACAGTTTCAACGGGCCGACGTTAAACTAATGTCACATTTATGATAGTTAAGCACTCGTGTAATAGCGGACGATTAATATTAACTTCCGATATACGTCGCATTAGGCGATACAGAGAGTTTACAACTAACTTTCCTGTGTACATTAGACAAAATACTATCAATAAATTTAATAAAACCATAAATTGATGATTCCTTCAGATTACGGAAATACTAAAATCAAACTGAACTCTTAAGTGAATCTGTCTTTGAAAAGTCGTCAACATCTAAAACACACTCGTGAGCTTTCTGCAAGGTATGTAAAAAGTAAAATTTAAAAAAAAAATCATTTACAAACTTAAAACAAATTTACGCTGACAATAAATTAAACAATAATTAAAGAGCAAAACAGTTTTACGCGCCATAACCAATTTTTCAGTAAGGCTAGTCATGTTTAAATTTCAAGTTTTATACTAATAATCCTGTGCTAGATTGTCCCGTACTTCGTATTGATCTTTTGATGTATCATCTACAACCAAAATCTAAAGTCTATCGCTTTGCAACTGTGCCGATAAATCCACCAGCATAAGGCCCTAGGTATTTCTCAAAATCACTTGTTCCTTACGATCCCTATTAAATGGCCATGCTTCTTGATAGGGAGACAGATAACGAATCCGCGGTCCAGTGAACAGTCGTCAATGGCAGTTACCGAACGATATGAAATGTTTAATACACATAAAACTCACCGAACTTTATGCCGAATAATATCCGATACGTTTTATTGCTTCAAAAGGAGCAAGAAAGACCCATTAAATAAACGAAAGCTCGCTACGTGCGAAGTTTTTTTTTTATATTTAGGCAACGATTAATAAAGGACATTATTAGAGTCGCGTGTCGCGCGCAAACATTAACACATGACCTCAAAGACACACAGCCTAGAAATAAGCGACGTGTAACGTCGAAAAATGCTAATACGTGCGATCGTAATCGCGCCTTTAACGCGTGAGTCTGACCACGCATAGTTGGGTAAATGTAACCCTTAAGCTATCTGATAACCCTCCTACGATTTAACCAGTCCCACTTGACCCCTAAATTCACGGTGCCCAAGCTTTCCTACAGATCTCTCTATCCAGGGCACGCACAACATGCGACGTTTGAAATATGTGGAGTGACGTCACATTTATGTCAGCCAATCCATTAATGCCCTTATCTCAACTTCCGAATTCGTGTGTTTCGTAGTAAAAGTCGACTTAAAGTGTGGGCCTTTATTGGGTATCGCCGTGACACGGGCGATTTCTAAACGAAAGTCGTGCACAATATAACAACACCTTGAGACCATTTTTAAACGTAACGACTGAGTGTTTTCGGTTTTCCTACGAGATATGTTATTTTGTCTTGATTTTGAACTAACTAAGACATATGAAATTATGAGTCGTGAATCACCCTGGAATGAAATCTTGTTCATTGATTTTAAGTGTTTATTTTACGTCTCGTTTTATCATTCAATTAATTAAAACAGAAGCTTCTTACAAGTTGGCAAATCCGAAACGTGTTTACTAGCTTCAAACGCGATAAAAGTTGAGCATAGTTGAGCTCAAATCACCTGATCCCAAGTAAAGACGCGTCATCGTGTAACCAAATATAGTACAATAGGATTGTTGTATTGTTTAATACTTGGTATGGGACGGAATTATCGGTTCCGGGAAGAGCGATGTGTGGATGGAAAAACCCAGGTAGAGTGGCGCATTGTCTTTACTAGCGTGGCCCAAAGGACCCTCGCTTGACCGTTTATTGCAGTTACTGTAAACGTATCCGTAACGGCTTTTTGATGTTGGGCACGTAATGCTCTGCACGGAAAGTTAAACATAAACCATATTGTCGAGCTTTGTAAGACATTTTGACCATGCGTGATAATAGTAAAATAAAACTTTTTTACGGATTTTAACACGTTTTATTTGATTTCTAAATTCCTGACGTTTCGAACACTTTGAACGATGGGTTCGTCACATTTACAGACAGACAGTGATAGAATTATATTGAATTTAAAAATTAAATTAACACGCGATAAAATCCGTAACATTCCATTTACCAGTGTATAATATATATAAAACAAGAATTCAATACAGGCGTGATAAATTAAAATATCGACTGAATCGTTATTTCTTAATGGTATGAAGAGAAATATTTGAGTAAGTAATGTATCAACAAATTTTTGCAATTTGTATAATTCCATAATCAACAATTAACGAACTTTGAACGGTGGTAGGGCTTCGCAGCTGCCTAGGCTGTTGCACGAATGGGCAGGTTCGTCCGGGTAAGTACCACGACCTCACAGAAAGTAAAGTTGAAATATAATACTTCCGCGTGTCGTCTGGTGAGTGAGGTTGCCGGAGCCCAATTTTCAAAAGGTTGTCAACGCATCTGTAAACCTTCGGGTGTAGCAGATTTCCATGGGCGATGGTATTCGTATAACATCAGGTGAACCACCTGCTCGCTTGGCAACTTTTCACATAAAAAAACTGATGTAATATGCCACCGACTAACTTCAAGATGTCAAGTTCATATTTATTTTTATTTTGTAACGCAAAATAAGTAACAAATTCTTACGTGCATAAATACACATGTGTTTATTAAACATGAAGTAAAAGTTAAGAACGGTGTAAGAACTTTAAATATTTAATTTCAAACTATAAATTTAAGCAATTTCAAAAAATATTGGCTTAATGCTATCAGTATCAGTTTATAACGAGTGTTCAAATTCAACTATCTGAAAACATGTAAAAATTAAAATTAAATATTCCATTCCATCCATGAACAAAAACAGCAAATAAACGCGTGTATAAAACGCGTCACCGCAAGGGAGAATATTACAAACACAACGAGGCGAGTTAGAATCGAAATTCGCCAAAAAGAGCCAAACAGCAAACACCCTTCCATAGTCCGCGTAAAACAAAACGACGCGGCAACGCTAAGCGGACGCAAGCACGTGGCGGCGCCCGAGGCTGTCGTGTGAACGGCCCTTAATCGCTGCGTGCATTACCTTCATTGTAACCCTTCCATGTGCGAATGACATAAAAGCTCCATCGCCACCTTTTTCCTCATCCACGCTCGCCACTTGTGCGGTTTATAACCAGTCACGTGCGCTGCCGTAAACAATTGGCGACGCATAAAAAAGGTTGTTTTTTTTGTATATAAAAAAAAATCGCCTCCTTATGTTTGTATCCACAAAACTCAAAAAGTAACCGATGGGTTGGCTTGATTGTTCACAAGTCAGCTATTGAACAGGATATTTATACACATTTATTGTTTTTTATATATTTTTATCCGGGAACCGAAAAAACGCATAGCTGGCCGAGTTCAGCTGGTGTTTAATAAGTAAATATCCATAGTGCAAGACCAAACAATGATATCAATACTTTGATTATAGCGGGCGAATAAGTATAATTCTTGCACTGAACATAAGTCTGCTTAACAAAATCCTGCTTAGCAAACTCCACGACTTAAAACACATAATTTTTAACTTTTGTGTTCACTATTTTGTTCAAAACCTTATAGGTATCCATTACAAAAGAAAAAATAAAGCATTCGAAAAGCACTGCTATCCAACGGTAAGGATAAAATGAAACGTATTAGGATTTTTAAAAGTATATATGTAGCTACGTGTCTCAATCTCAAGATCGAGCGAAACGCATTTGCTACTGACTCCACCTATTTTCAAGGTTATTTGCGAGTAAATAAAAAAATCAGCTCGCGTAAATCTGAAGCCGTATCCGAGGACTCGTGTGCAGCGAGTAATACGATTAGTTACGTGCACGGCCAAATGTACGTTTTGGGGGAACATTGAAAATTTTCGAGGCTTATCGCTGGCCGGCTTAAACTTTTATTTCGAGCGCCCGGGGCGGGCGCCCTGCGCGCACGAATTTCGTACAGACTTACAGATCGCGAAGATACGGACACTTTCAAGAATTTATTTCTTGTACTCAGTAAAAAATACCATAGCCAAATATTTTCATGTTGCAGTATTCGTTATAAATCAGTAACTTACAAAGCGCACCACATAACAGGCATCACCATCACGAACCAGATTGTAAAGAGTTTTTACTATCTCTGTTCTGAATAAAGTTTGTACTTTACTATTGCCAAAAGTACATACATTAATATTATATAGCAATTGAAAAATGTGATCAACTTTTCAAATTGACTTTCCACAGAATTAAGTTGATGGACACTTATGGTTTTCATTCACTACTCTACAAAAATTTGTAATAGTGTTTTATCATTTCAATTAAATATTCTAAAGCTTTTCTATCATTTTATTTCTTTACTCTAAAAGCTTGACCTATAAATATCTATAAATTCGCCGGATTCTGTTTAATCAATAGTCTCCACAGTCTACTTTACTTACTAATATTTTTTATTGTTTTCAGTCGTTTACCGAAATAATAAATCACCAACTCTAAAGCCGCCTCTACGCGTTCCTATGTCGCGCGCCAACTCACGCGAACCAATATTTACGGCGTGTATTTTGGCCGTATGTTCTCACACGTCGGCCGATACACATCTGATTCATTACCGCGCTCTATGCCCCGCTCCGTGTTGTCTATGCGAGGCGGACACAGGCATCCCGCGGCTTCTACGCACGTCAACGGCCGCGCAAGTTAGTGCGCGCTCGCTCTTGATTTACGCGGAAATGTCTGCTGGTAAAGAAAAAGAAATATATGACGTAAAATATAAAAAAAATCATTTGAATGAAAATTCGAAATTTAAATGTAGCGCAACGATTTCTTGCCACGGCAGCTGTTTATATTGGCGCTCGATTATAATTCGAAAGCTTCAACCAAATTGAGTTCAATGCTGGCCAAAGTGAATTGTTATGCTGCATATTAGTTACACTATGCATTTAGTCCTGAAGGAAAACACAGTTTGTGTGGAAGGAGTTGGGTAGTAAGTCCCAACGACCACCGCACCCTTGAAAGGTCTATTACAATCTTCCCTCCGAAATAATTTCCCAATGTAAGATAGCACTACCCCATGTTGTAAGGACGTTATACATATACAAATTTCACGTGGACGAACACCCAGATCAGAAACAATTATCGGTGAGTCACACAAATAGATGTCCCGTGTGGGAATCGAACTCACGACGTTTGGCGCCGAAGCCGTTAACTTGGCCACGGAGTCATCAACTACCATCACTTGTGTCGAATTAAAGATTGAGTCCTTGGCACAATTTAAAATCAACAACTGATTTAATATAGCGGTAGTAGTTCCTTATTAGACAATTAGTTCACTACCGAAACCTTTCTATAGGCAGATCAGAAAAACACGATCCATTTACCAAGTGTCACAGATTTGGTTTCCCTTTTACCAAGAAAGATATACATAAATCACGAAAGTAATGACTTAGAAAAACTCGCTTGTTCTTGTCTTGTCTTGTCTTAACATTTGCCTACTCTTTTTCTACACCTCGTCACGGTGAAAGCAAAAAGGAGCAAGCTGCTTCTAATACTGTTACAATGTTTAAAAAACGATAGTGAGTCGCAACCTCCGGAACACTTATATACAAAACTCAAATATAGAAAACTGTTTTATTAATAACCACAAATTGCTAAGTTTTTTTAGCTACCTTTACATTCCCATTATAATAGACTAAATATTCGTTTTAAATAAGCGCCATCCGCGTTACGTATATCATCAGTCTATTACATCGAAGATGCCTAACGAGATATCAAGACTAATGTTTATTATAAGCCATAGTTCGAACCTACAACTACTTTATAAACTACCCTGGTCACCGGCTGTAATGAGCCCACCAGGAAGACTTTTCAATCGGCCTTAGCCGATTATTCATCGACCCGCTTTGTTCGCGGGCGCGAAAATAGGAAAAACACAAACGTAACATCAACGGAACACAATAGAAAGGGGCAGCCTAAAAGACTATCAGAAGACGATTTCGCTTTTTACGTTCGACCCAGCGCCCGTAAAACTTTAGCAAGTACAGAACTTGGAAACTAATCTAAGTGCCGCGCTCCTACAACTTGGCAGACAAGTGTCGACGTGTTTTTTTTTCTTCTTACTGGAGTTTTTCAGCCTTCAACGAACTCCGGCCCGCCAGTGATATGAACAGAGCATGCATGGGGGGTTTCGCACAGAGTAAGACATTTGGAGTAGTACATTATTTTATTAATTTCATATAATTTAATTTTCAAGAAATTCAAACAATCAAGGTCTCTTGACTTTACCTTGTGGTTACCGCCGCCCATGATACACCGCAACAACGCAACTATAAAAACAGTCAAAATACAAATATCTCATAATTGTTATTGTGCCGAATCAGTTTCTCAGAAAAACTGGTCGGTACATCGTTCCAGGCGTTGAGCCCTTTAAGGATAGGATTTTTAAAAATATAGATACAACTATATTTGTATGTATATTTTTAAATATACATACAAACAAACACGTCGTATAATACGTATAACCACGTCGACATTGAGCTAAACTAACGAAAATGTTCTCAATCCGCCAAGACTCTGTCGGGTCATTGCTCTACGTGGCGTCAAGACAGCGAGGCGTCAAGGTACGGCCGAAATATTCATTTCTTCGCTTCCACCGCAGATACTTTTCACACCTTGTTTTCGTTTAACAAGCAACTGAACTATTGTAAAAATAAATCAATACAGTGTAACTGGGATAGCATGTGCTTGTACCTAGCTTCTATATAATTAACAAACGGACGGACATAAAAGCCAAAAAATATATTATTACATTTCCTCCGATAACTGTACTTTTACACATCCCTAAAATCCTGCTAATAACGTTTCACGTTTTTGTAAAAGTCTAAAAAGAAATAGCGAGTGGCATTCAAATTACGAATGTATCATATTTACATCAAGTGACCACTTCTGTATAATGCGACAAAGTAATTCCATTCGGCGTCCAATTATACCCGGGCATTATGGTTGTACGAAAGTTACAAAACCCCAATTCAAATAAACATATAGCGGGGAAAAATCGGGTTTCAAATGCTGTTATTACGAAAACTGGGTGGGAAACATGTTCAGTGTTTTATTAAGCGAGGTCAAGTTAGGGTGACGTCGTTTTTACTGGAATCGATATGTCTTGTTTACGTCAATTTTAATTCTGTTACATCAAAGAGAAACCATTTTTACGCATTCATTACATAATACCTTTTATAACATAAAAAATTGAGCCGTGATAGCTCAGTGCCTTTAATTCAATGTAGTCGAGCAACCTGAGTTCAATCTTTGGTGCCAATAATACACCAATGAAATTGGCAATTTCAAGTGCTGAGCGGTGAAGTAAAACAGCGTGAGCAAACATGCATATGTTCAAAATAATCACAAAATAAAATATTTCGAAGATATGTGAAGTCCGCCATTCCGCAATAGGGCCGCGTGGTGAACTATGCCCTGATACCCTCTGTAAAGACGAGGCCTTTGCCCGGCAGCGGGATAGGTATAAGCTGTTATACTACGTTACTTTTTACATAAAAAATCTACAAATACTTGCATTTCAGTTTTTTTTTTGTGAGGAAGTGGCAAACGTGCTGGTGGTTCACCTGATAACAGCCTGCCCATTGACATTTGCAACACCTTTAGGGTTACAGATGCGTTGCCACCTCTTAATAATGTGGGCCCCGGCTACCTCACTCACCAGACGAAACGCGAACGCTGTTGCGTGGCTGTATCACCGTTAATTCAGCCCTGCCACCGAATTTCAGTCTTCATCAGATTCAGACGAAGAAGAATGTAACAACTTAAATGTAGACTTTACTTGTAAAAATCGATCCTGCAGGTAAGTCAATTATAAATTATAAATTTAAAATCACTTGCTGCTTTAGGTACAGGATCGTTGAACGTTTAAATTGAAAAGTTATTTGTTTTAACGTTTGTTTAAAAGTTATCTACTGTACCCTTCCACGGCCCTTGTTTTCTACATAGTGTTTGAATCAAAAGTGAATATGCCATACATCAAAGTCAAGGCCACGCAATTTAAGGTTACGGACTTACGCAGGGCCACCGATCGATAAAGTTTTAACCTCACACCCTGAAATCACAATCGTCAAATTATGACGGCTGAACTACGAAATTCAGATCAAGATGTGTGTCTCAAGGTCCAAAGTAGCAGAACCCGAAAGTATCGGCGATGAATTAAATGACTCCGTGGCGTGGTTGCCAAGGTTAAGCCAATGCTTTGTCGTCGGGGGTGGTGGATACGATAGACACATGGGGAAAATATATGTGTGACCCACATATAGTTGTTTCGCATCTCGGTCCTTACAATGAATAAAAATACATGGGATGATGTTATCCTAAAGTAAGGGCAATGTTTAAAAAAAGCAGGGAAAAAATACGGTTTTCTTTTTCATATCAAGTATATCCTGCGCAATGTGTTAAACGATTGGTCACCCCACTGTAGATATTATCGCACGTGGTCACATACTAATGGTAAACACGTAAAGGTAATTTTCCCTTTGATGTATGGCGCACGCATCGGGGTTAAATTAAACGCTAACCCGTGAAAGATCGCAAAAGGTTTTTATTCGGAATTGTTATGGTGTGTAATAATTTCAAACTTCTTGAACGTATGTGTCCGTTAAACTCATAAAGTAACAACCTTTAAAGAAACATCTCTAAGAAAAACATTTTTAGTAACAAAAAACAAAACCGAGTTCTCTAATGTATATCCAGAGTTCACCTTGAATACTAATGAAATTAATGACCCATTTTGAGCGAAGCACATGGAAGCTAAACTGAATCTAATGCAAAAATCCAGAATTTTCAAAATCGGTTCATAATTGACGGAGTTCTGACGCAAGTAGCAGAAAAAAAACTTACAATCGAATTGAGAACCTCCTTTTTTGTAATCGGTTGTAAAGTGACTAACTTTTAGTAAAAACTTACCACACCACACCTTGTGTTAGTAATATTTGCGTTTGCGAACCCTCCCGCGACAAAGGAATTACCTATTTCATATTGTTCGAGGGAGATAATAATAAAAAGATTAAAATTTATTTATGCTAAGTAACCGAAATATGCAACTAAGAGCCTCTTGGTAACTCTTCCAGGAATTGCTTATTTTCGAAGTAACATAATTTAATAAAACTTACTAAATCATTAATAACTCTGCGGTAAGCATAGCTATTTAATATTAATAATAAATAAATAAATTGAGTGTACTATTTGCTGACACAGGGATTTGAACTTGTCGATGTCAGTTTCGTATGACGGATCTCAATGTGATCACTCCCTCCTGCCCACATCGAGATCCGGAATCACACCTGAAAACGAAAAAGACGGGCCGTTCGAACCTGAACAGTGTATAAAATATTTTTATAATTGATCATTTCTAAAACCTACATAATAAAAAATAGTTATCTGGTGTAGCTGGTAAACTTTCCACGCGAGGCTCTAGGAGTAAAAACACAATAGAAGTTGGAGCATTTGCCACAGGCAACTTTATTTCACACAGATATGATTAGTATAAGGTAAACGAAAATATGTTGCCGCACCTCTTTGGGATTCGAGTCACTGGCTTTCGATCGCAAGTCGACAAGCTATCAATGAACAATTTGTGGAGTGTGAACAATCATATCATTACTGTATTTAAAGTAAAATACAATCCTGTAATACTGTAAATAACCACTAGCGTAAGCATAATAATCTGACATTTTGAGCAATATTATTTGAGATTATGGATAAAACGTCGAAATTAATTTCCATTGAAGCAATACTAAGCAAACCGCTATATCTATCCCTAACCGTTTTACAAAATCGAACGTAAGGTTTGAAATGTTTCATCCAATCTTTAGTTCGAAAAATAAAACAACACACTTGTCATTCGGCCTGATTTAGCAAAGTCAAGTTTTTGAAAATCGAACGCGGAATATTCGGCCAAAATGGCACATTAGTGACGCGCAATCGCGCTTAGCTTAGGTGGCAACAAAATGCCGACTGCGTTCCGACGCCACGCGATCCGGCTATTAACTAAATTAACAACACATGGATTTATTTCGGTTTAATCACTGCGAACGCAGCGAGAAATGTAAATAAATTGCCGACATTATTTCACGTTAGGACTGCGTATTGGACCGCCCTGTGGATATTAATTCGTTGATTTATAACTTTAAAAGGAAGACATTGCCTGCAGCCTAACTAAATTTCTATGCTATCTTTACTGGGGCCCTATTTAGCCCTATTTAGTCCTATTTAGACCCAGCTATTAACACACCTGAAGCTCTTGCAGTTTATACCGATTTTAAACTCCTTTCCTTCATAGTAAAAATATCTAACGGTAACTTCTAGTCTAAATACAAGGTTACCTTATAAATCTACTTCTATTCTATTTATATTCCTAAATTTACCAGTGTAAGGTCTAACAATACATTATAAACTTTTACACTTACAGAGGTTATTAAATACAAGAGTAAATGACAAGAGTTTGAATGATTTAACTTCCTCGAAAAATTTCGTAATGAAATAGGGGTATGAATTGTATTGTAAATAAAACTATTGTGACGTTTCTTATCGCGTTAAATTTAATAAAATGCCTAGTCCATATATATATATGGACTAGGCATAGTAAGTCCATACTCTTAGTCACAAAGACTGTCCTTTGATTTTTACAATGTGCCATATTCGCGTGAATCCAGAAAATCCTTTAATTGGTTTTACTACGACAAGCCAGTCTTTTAGACATTTGAATCTTGTTCAGCTCGGCAAGTAAGGACTAGCTTTAGATATCTCAATCTAGCCCCTTATGGTCCACGGATACAAGAATTTGCAAATATGACGATGTCTTCTTCTTGTTGGTATATCCTACACGATGCAATAAGTTGTTTACAACAGGCAATACATGCTATTATCAAATCACTTATAATTGCAAAGAATCTATTTGCAATCGGATTAAATTTGACATACACAGAAAATAAATAAGGCTGATTAAATAAGAAATGAACCAGCTTAAGCATTTTTAATCCCTGTTAAGTATTTAAACGATGATTCACGTGTCTCATTATTGCTTGGCAACTAATTTTAGCCGCATTACTAAAGCTGATACTAGGAAAAGGGGATTAAATTATATGTTATCTACATAACCTTACTACGCATAATCTTCTTTAACGCATACATATTTAAAAAAAGGCGAATTAGTATTTAAATCTCTTATTTAAATACTAATTCGCCTTTTTTTAAATATCCCAATACTCTAATCTTTAAAACACTTAACTTTATTCAAACATCAAATTACTCAAACAAAACCTAACCCAAAGGCAAAAAAAATGTAAATCATTGGAATTTAATTCATCTGTATTATTACTGTCTTCTGATAGACTAGCTGTAAGAAAACTCATACTATTCCCATATAATAAAAAAAAGTACACCAACGCCAGTGTGATAAAATACTAAGCAATTAATTAAATCTTGGACCAAGGGTTGAAGTTTCAATCGAAACAAATGTTTCATAAAGTCCATAGAATGTGTTAGAAGTAAATGGATGCAGGTGGCAAAGAATCTTGCTTCGTTACAATCTATGGGGGAGACCTGTATTCAACAGAGAACCAAAACATGCTGAAATGATAATGATCCAAGAGCACCATACATCCACTTGGACATTAATAGCTTAAGTTTTAGGGATTGATTATACATATCCCAATTTAAAATAATTTCGACCTGAAATATTTGAAATAAAGGTAGACAACAATACATAACAATAAATAAATATATTCAAACTTACACAAATTAACAAGCAACAATTTGCTAGAGTGCACAGTGAAAAAAATTAAATGTAAGATTTGGTACAAATATTAAAAAGTATTTATATAAATATCTAAGCAAACAGTCCACTACAAAACACAGTAAATCCGTTTATAAATAGAAAGTTGGGTAAAAATATTCATAAGTATTTTTTTATAATAATAACATTTAAATTTACTCAAATTACTAAGAATGAATGACTTAATTATAAAACCGAAAAAACAACAGGATTAGCACAACTATTACAAAAATTACCAAATAAAACCGTCCACTGTGAAAAACAATGATGAAATAAGAATTTAAAAATAGAAAGTTGAGCAAGTTTGATATTCAAAAGTAAAAAAAATATATTTAAATATGCTCAAATTACTACGAGTGTAGGACAAAGACAAATAAAAAGATGGTATATGTAACTATCCTTAAGTGATAACAAAAATAATTAAAATGACTCTAATCCATGAGCAAACTCAATTGCGTAAAAAATGAATGGAATACCACGCGACTGTATTATCATTTCTGATAGTTACATGGTAAAGAATGGTGTCCGGGAATCGAACGAGCTACCGAAACGGTCGAGTCTTTTTGGCCTTATTCGGCCATCTTGACTTTGTCACAAGACCGCAGATATGGAGCCAACGACACGAAACAATGACCTGGTATACTGCTGGGAAATCAATAACAAAGCTGAAAAATCAATTCTGTGTAATAATATGAAGGCAGTTCAATTGACAATTGTGACATTAATTTATATGAAATGTGACAAACGCTGCATAAAGTGACATTCATTACGTCTTGAAATGTGAGTAATAATAAAATAAAATTAAGTTTTAATGTTTACATATTAATGCATTAATGGTGAATAGGTCGACGATTTGGAGTAATATTTAAATCACTAATATGTGGCAGTCTTAAATGGTAATTTATTAACTTTACATGCGAACAAATGTATTCCACTAAAAATAAAAGTAGGTCTTTAGACAGAAATACGAATTCCGCAAACCCTTTAATAACTTTTTCCCGGAATCTTTTATTCCCGCTATCATCTTTTGTTATTCAATGAAGTGGTCCGTTTTCCTTTTATTATATAGATACTACCTGCCTTAGTAAGAGCAAGAACTAGAGTTTATCTTCTAAGTCTTATAACTTCACATGTGGAATCTTTACTTTGTTACTATTTCAATTTCTCCATTCGTATTCTAATACATGTACCGTATGTTTATCAATAACTGTAGTTTCGATTGACTTCAGTATCAAATTATCTTGTAACTTAGATTTTAGTAGACCGTGGGAACAGAGATCGCTGTCCTACACAGCTTCGCTTTCGCGTAGGTATGTAAAAATGCGAGTGCGAAGTAGGCGTCACATGTGAGTAGGTATAGCGTTGATGTGACACACGTGCGTCGGGGATGGTTGAGGTGGCGGCGGCGGCGGCGCGGCGCGGCGCGGCGGTGTGTCGCGGCGCTGTGTGAGTGGCGGGGCGGGGCCGGGGGCGGGCCGAGAGCGGCGCCGGCGGCCACCGCCCGCCGAGCGACGAGCGCCGAGGGCACGCATCTCGGGCACTCGGCATTCGCGCGACACCGCCGCACCGCGCGCTCGTCTCCGCACACTCAGCCCGCTCATTCCGCGCCCGCGAGCCGACCGCGACGCACGTCCGCGACCACCGCACCGTTGCCACCCGCTCCGCTATCGGGCCCAGTGCTGTGCAGTGCCATCGGAACTATCGAAGCGCGCCACCGTGCGATGCCAACGCCTGGCTCCGCTGCCGAGGCGATCTGAGCGAAAGGGTTGTAGCGCGGAGGGCGGCGCGAGGCCGCGCACGCGCCCGCTGCCGTGCCGAGTCCGCACACCGGTCGACGCCGGCCCGCGCGATGGACGACAAGACGACCGCCGCCGAGGAGCACTACAGCCTGCGCTGGAACAACCACCAGGCCCACCTGCTGCGCTCCTTCGAGGCGCTGCTGCACGCCGAGACGCTAGTGGACGTGACCCTGGTGTGCGCCGAGAGGCGGGTGCGCGCCCACAAGGTGCTGCTGGGCGCGTGCAGCCCGCTGTTCCGCAGGATCTTCAGCGAGAACCCGTGCAAGCACCCCGTGATAGTGCTGAAAGACTTCCAGGGATGGGAGGTGCAAGCGGTTGTGGACTTTATGTACCGCGGGGAGGTGTCCGTGGCGCAGGAGCAGCTGGGCACCGTGATAAGGGCGGGGGAGTCGCTGCAGGTGCGCGGGCTGGCCGACCAGGAGGGGGAGAGGACGCGCTCGCCGCCGCCAACGCCGCCGCAGAGGAGCCCAGCGCGGGCGACGCCGGCGCCCTCGCCGCCAGCCAGCCCGGCGAGCCCGCAGCCGCGCCGCAAGCAAGCGCGGCCCCGCCGCCGCTCGGGGGAGTCAGATACGCCTGAGAACCTCTCGATGCGCCGCTCGCCCAGCGGCCTCAAGGCGGTGCGCCTCGCCAGGCCCCGCTCCCCGTCGAGCCACAAGCAGGAGCCCGAGGAAGTGGAAGCCGAGGTGCCCCCGCCGCCCAGGATGTTCCAGCCGCACCAGGACATGTTCCCGCCAGTGCCGCCGGCCGCCGTCTCGGCCCTCTCACTCACGCCGCCTCACAGTAAGTAACATTCACAAATTACCAACCACACCATACACAGTGCAATTCTCATTATGTCATTGGTTTGCAGACATTGCATTCGCAGCTCAAACCTCACACGAACAAAACTCGGAAAGTATAAAAATAAATATTTCGTTACCTCCATTCCAATTATTAAATCGAATTAGTTTTTTTCCATATACCTCATTTTAATGTTTGTTTGAAACATCGCCTCATTTGAATGTATCCTAGCCTATAAATATCTTTATTTTTTTTTTTGGAACACATTATTTTATATTAATTTACGTCTGGCCGTGTATAAAATTGTGACGTTACCGTACAGTATTATACAGAACACCTATTCACCCGCAAGAGAAAAAAAACGTAAGGTCACCAATAACAATGCCGTTGTGGATGGATAATTACTTCGTAAATAAATAATTGCCGGCAAAAACTGACCTCGTTCACTCATTGTCACTGCATGACCGATGCAAACCTATTTATATTCAATGCTATGAGTATTTATGCGCATATTGCACTAAAGACAATGACCACTCCTAGATACTGATTTGTTTAATCCAATCAAATCCGGCATGATTAATATAACTGAATGATCGTAAGTTGGCTTGAAAAAGGTAGTCGCCAAATGTTCTTCGCTTTATGATTATAGAACTTTGAACTCTGATCAACTAGTAACTGTATCTCAAAATAACAGAGATTTTTTCTACTAGGTCATATAAAAGCTCTTGTCAGAATAAGACGCTATCATGGTACAGATTAATTAGAGCTAGAGTTAATGTAGAGCTAAGGTGAAGCAAGAGCAATATTTGAAATTTTAAAAATGTGTTTAGGGAATTATAATATTAGTTTGTATATCGAATGGTTTTAATAAATTTTAACAATAATTGTCCGTATTATAATATATAAAATACATTCTTATTCGATAAGTGTATCATATAGTCTTAAAAGGACGTAAGTACATGGTGCATGTCGGGTTGAGCGCTCGTATGTTATTTTGCAATAACCAAAATTTCTATTCTTAAGCGTTGAACAGCCCAAAGTTAAGCTTTCCTATTGACGTTTGCTAGTTTGAAGAAATTCCGCAGTTTCACATATTCACGTGACACTAAGTAAAATTTGAAATTGAAAGTTGCGAGAGTTCTCGATTAGTTCTTCCGATTCCATCCGTTTGATTTCATAAACTAAATATGCAGGTGTCCGTGGGCGGCGGTGATCACTTACCATCAGAGCCTCCTGCACGTTTGCCGCTTTTTTCCCCATAAAAAAATAATGGTATCTTAAAAAACCGTTTTGGCAAATCGCAGCCCGCGATCGATTCGATACGTTATCTGTGCGAAGTGTTAATCGGTGGCTTTCGCAGCTGAATTAAGATCACCCATTCATGTGTCGAGCCGTGCGTCGGCAGCGGATGTCAACGGGCCATTAGACCCTTAAGGCGACATAATCTGTGGCAAGTTTTAATGTACACTGGAACGTAAAAGCGACACACAGCGTGCGTGGGGAGCTTTATTCGTCATTATTTTGTCACCATCTCGTCATGCAAATTGTTAGTGGATGGCCCTCACCAACTTATCGTGTATTTATTAAACAAGATAATGTTGCAGTCGTTAATAGTAAAAGCATAATATTATAGTTTATACCAACTTCTTTGGTTATCGAATCGCACGTAAGTTTGGTTTTCGACCTAATATTCGTGGGGAAACACAGCTCTAAGCAAATTTTAAACCACTTTGTTCCCCTTTCGACCACAACATATTCTCCGGATCCCCGAAACAAGTTGTTTTTGTTTGGGTATCCTTTACGGCGTTCCACTTTTTGCCAAACGTTTGTTACATACAGAAGTTAAACAGAAAATAAACAGAGGTTTTTGGAGCGATAGTTCTAGCCAGTTCGTTTCAATAACAACTTGGGTTATGTCAAAAAAGAATTGAGACGAGTGATTATACCCGCCGAGTTCATTTTTTTTATAATTTCCAAAGACAAGAACCAAGTCCGAAATCATTAAGCCATCCAGTATCGATCTTCATATTGACGCTAATAAAAAAAATATATGTAATTCAACTGCCGCTTAGTGATTTCATTTTAATGCTAAACTATATTCTTAATTTGTTTTTATGCCCCGACCGAGGCCCGCGATAGGAATTAGTGCGAGGAGTGGTTTTATACGTCAATTTTGTTTGATTGTTTCCTCAGTTTCGCGTATGTGCCGAGTGCTTGATTGCGCCGTAATGGCGGGATTGTGCAGGGTTGCCTGTTCAATCCAGGTTTTATCCGACGCAGTGTACGATCCGAAATAGTGAGGAGGAATTCCGTTAAATGTGTTTACGAGGTTTTCGCCAAACCGAGCTACGAATTTATATGGGACTTAAATTAATATGGGACTTCACGGATGATATGAAGACAGTGAATTTTGCATGTATACATTCAGAGAATAGGTACAGCGATCGGCGCAAGCCTCTGAGAATTAAATCTATGGATATATCTTGGAGGATAATGCTGCTCTAGGGTACTATCTATACTCAGTATCTATACTCAGATTCACACGCTTGTTTCATTACTTCAGGACACATGAATCACTGATATCTACGCTCAAATCACTACAAAAATATAAAGATTTATTTGGACTTTTTGTGTTGATTTACTTAACCATAGTCAATTTAAAAAATTATATGTACCACTACCGAGAAGGGCACTTTGCTTTTAGGCTGAGATAAACATACTTTTTCGCCGTAGTTTGACAAACAATCATAAACATCGAAACCAAAACGAATTGTGTACAAAAATTTACCGTTGCCACTATGAAGAAAACAAACTGTTATGACTCGAGCGCGGTTATTGAAGCTTGTTAACGCGAGCTGGCAACCCTGACGGTAATGAAGGGTTGTACGCACTCACCTTACCCCAACGTGCGCGGGGAAACTAAAACACGCGAGGGGAGTTTCGGAACGTTTCCGCACTTGTCAGTCCGTTACGTAATCCAAATATGAATTGGCCTAACTTCCACTCTCCAAGCGGTAATATTTTTGTGCATTTTTCTTTGGGTACAGTCGTAGGCAACGCTTCTGTAACAAAAGATCAACATCAAGTAACAAAGATTACTGTAACAGTATATTAATGTACCTGCACGGATGTCCCAATAATTTAGGTGATTACACTGCCATTTTTAGGGTCGATCCCCAAATGAAAGAAATATTTAAGAGCGCCATAACAAATATTTAAGATTTCCAAGTTTGCAATTACTTTGCGTCCATGATCACAAAATTATTATTTTATTTTAAAGAATCTTGCACACTTTTTCTTTTAAATCGGAACTGTAAGTATATTTTTAACAAAAAATTATAGAAGATGGAAATGGTACAGTAGTATGGCATCTACGTAATTGTTATTAATTGGTAAATCATAATAATCATTAAAACGGTGATTAAACTTAAACTTAAATAAAGATGATTTTTTTCCAAACGGAGACAAAAAACAAGCTTACAATTATGTTGACTCAAACGAAGTAGACAGAAACTTATATTTACATACTTCGTTTTATTTTACAACTAGCTGACCCGGCAAACATTTTTTTTTTCCATATAAATTATTAAAAAAAATGTTTGGGGTGGACCACACGGTAACATTTAGGGGGATGAAAAATAGATTTTGTCCGATTTCACGAAAATCGGTCGACCCGTTTCGGAGGAGTTCAATTACGAACACCGTGACACGAGAATTTTATATGTTAGATATTAAGGTAAGGTTGTAATTGTAGTCCGGACATGGGCCAACAAGAACATAGACGCACCGTCTGGCAATTCGTAAATCACTGACTACCAAACGAAAAATGTTCGGACATAGTCACAATCGAACCCCGTTTGTTACAAAGAGCATCACAGTTTCAACGCGTAAGCGCATCGAAGAAGAATCCGCATCGCCGTTAAAGCCCGTTTTAAATATCGAACGAGAACAATCGAGATTGTCGTAAAGCCTTAGCGCTGGAGCCGAACGGCGCGGCGTGTCCAGAGTTTATTTTAATAAATGTCCATTTTATCGTTTCCTTCTTCGGCGTGTGTGATGGGGCCCTTGATTGCGCATAATGGCGGTGTAAATGTAATAAAGGGTTGGCAGGGGCCCGGCAATCTGCGCCGCGCTTCCCGATTGTGCCGCCGAGTCGTCGAGCAATTCCGAATTCGACATTACCGCCTGTCCCATTACTCCATTTACTGCTGGATAAACAGCGAGCATTAGCGTCATTACACCGTAAATGTCAGCCGCAATTGCTACGTGCCAATAGTTTCGGTTTTAAAACAATTAGACCCCACAAATCGTGGCTTTAAAGCTACGTGTGTGGCCGCCGTGACGATTTTAAAACCTTCATTTTCTTTGAGTCCTCCCATCGGATACTTTAATTCGGTTCAGCGTTTAAATAGGGTTTTCTTTGAATTTTCATCAACTCCCTATCTAATATATAAAATTCTCGTGTCACGGGGTTCGAACTTGAACTCCTCCGAAACGGCTCGACCGATTTTTACCAAATTTTATATGCGTATTCAGTAGGTCTGAGAATCGGCCAACATCTATTTTTCATCCCCCTAAATATTAAGGGCGTAGTCCACCCCTAATTATTTTTTATTTTTTATATAAAACTTTTTGTTTATATTTTTTTATGACACAGCATACAAAAATACATACAACCCTAAATTTTCACCCCTCTACGCAGACGTAGTCGCGGCCAGCAGCTAGTAATATATATATATATATATATATATCCGCAGAAATCTTACTAATACCCTCGGGATTTGATGAGCACAAGTTGCTGACAAAAGCATTGTTTTCAATATAGATAATAAGTTTATGTTCAACGTGATAACTTAGTGCTGTGACATTAACCGTGGCGCAGTTGTCTAAGGTCAAATACTTAGGAGTCACTTTCGACTCGATCTGCACAGCGATTGCAGACTCCCGACGATTCGCGAATATTTCAAAGATCTGACAAAACGGTTCTTCGATAGAGCCGA